GCCCCATCAACCCAGAGGGATACCCAGGTGCAGTAACTGTTGTGGGTGGGCTGCTCTGGCACTTGTTTATTGTGGCTGGGCGGATCGACTAACTTAGGCACTGACCGACAGAAGGTCAGGTGCCTGGTTAGTCTTCCCCCCAAAGGGGAGATGTGTGATGAAGTGCCCTTCACCACTTTGTCCTGGAGAGGCCTGCTTGCCTGTCTCCTGCCCTGCGATTATGGCACTGGGATGTATTGTCCTTCTAGGAACGGATGTGGACATGCTGGAGGCTTATATTGCTGTTCCTGGCCCTTTAATGCTCAAAGAAGGATTTTGTACTTTTAAACTGGCACTTCGGATTCAGTCAAAGTGTTGAAGCAGTCAAAGCTGTCGAAGTGGCCGCCATTCGAATACTGAACACGTGGCGGCGGCCATTTTAACTAATTCGAACGAGGTCAGCGGTATGTGTAGCCAAATCCATGGAACTGAAATCGGCTACACATTTCAACGAACACTGCTGACCCTTATTCCTTAAGGAATAACAAGCAGCTACTGACCCTGGAAAAAACACAAGCTGGAATCAGAAAGGGGCAACCCTTAAAGACAGGCTGTATTTCAACAATCTGCTTACCCAAGAACATATACTCAGCAGTGGTCCAGTGGGCCTATAGAGCATCATATCTGTCCAGAACCCACATGAACTCTTTTGATCAATAAATACTCTGAAGTACCAGGAATTGCCTCTCTGACCAACAGTTACTGTAGATCTTGTGTCATTTGTACCAAGGGCAACTCAGGAAGAATGGTGGAAAGCCCCAAGCATCTAGCCCAGTGGTAGTCAACCTTTTTCTACCTACCGCCCACTAATGCATCTTTCTTGATGGAAATATTTCCTTACCGCCCACCAGTTTTCGTGCAAGTGCAGAATATTTTTTTAAAAAGGAAGGCGTTTTAAAAAAAATAAATGTACATACATTTATCTTTTTATTTCTACTTAATGCATGTTTATAATGTTTTTAACGTTATAAAGTTTAATGAGAAAAAACATTAAAGTAAATTGAAATTACCTTTACTAGTGATTAATGAGATCCTTGAGGTTGATGCTACAAGACTAAATATTTGATATCTGGTTCGATTTTCGTAAGGAACAAACTAAGGTCTCCTCTTTTGGTGATATTCAGATGACTTCTCTGTTTGCGCATAATATTATTTCTCTTCTGTGCGTCAGCTCCCATCCTCTTCCTCCTCAATTCCCTTCCCCACCTTTTTTTTCCCCTTTTTTCTATTTTTTAACCTTACTTATATATATATATATATATATATATATATATGCCCAGTAGGAAGGCTGAGCTAGGTAGCCCACTTACCTTAGCCCACTATAACAGACAGGCACACATACAAGACACACATACAGACACACACACAAGACACACATACAAACAGACAGGCACACACACACGACACATAGATACAAACAGACAGGCACACATACACACACACGACACATACAAACATACATACAAAGACACATACATACACAACACATACATACAAAGACAAGACACACACAACACATACATTCAAAGACAAGACACACATACACACACATAAGACATACATACAAAGACACATACATACAGACACACACAATACATACATACAAAGACACACACACAACCAAACACACACATTATATTTAAGTCACCCTCCTGTTTTCTACCTTTAAGGTGCAGGAGGGTGACTTTCCCTGGGGTCCAGTGGGGGCTCAGGTGGATGGGAGTCATAGTTCCCACTCTGACTCCCTGGTCTTCCTCCCGCACGGCTCTCATAGTTAGCTGGGAGGAGTGACGTGTAGTCACTTCCTCCCAGCTCTGTGATGTAATCACAGGGGGCCCGGTCGCGCTGTTAAAGCGCCCAGTGCTGACCAGGCCCCCTCACAATCCACATCCATCGGGTGGCCCTGACACCATAGGCCACCCGATGGACCCCTTAGATGGCGGTAAGTAGTTTGGTATGCTCCTAAGATTAGGTGCAACAGGGTCCAGGAGTCAATTCACTTGAAAAGGCTTCTCTATGTTAGAATAGTTGGAAGGAATACACAACTAGTATATATGGGGTGTATGACTTTAAATCTGCTAAAAGCAGAATCAAATTATTACACACCAAATTGCTCTACTTAAAGCTTCGAGATGTGAACCCTAATAAAAAAATATAGGAAAAACAGTATGAGGAACTGTTTCCTATATGGTAAAAAGCTTATACAGTTAGAGATGTATATGTCTTTAAATCTATAACTGATAGAATGTGGCAAAACCTATATCAGTATCACATATTGTGATGCAGATAAAAAAGTATACAAACTAAGTGCAGGGTATATACTATTAAATAGATTACTATATTAATAGAAAAAATAGTAATAATAAAAAAATATATAAAAAAACAGATTAAAATGATACAAAATTTATTGGGTAATAACAATACTAAAAATATATTCACATGCGATCAAAAGTTAAAAAATGAAGATCAGGAACGTATTGCAAGAAGGTTACCAGCTCTTCAGCAGTCCTAATATCAACTGACCCGCAGGGACCATCCAGGATGGATATGGATACAGTATTGCTCTTACTGTGATCTCTGGCTGTCGGCTGTCAGGTTGGCGTGCGTCCCAGACCTCACTCTGAGAGATGCATGCTTGCCGGCCGGTCGGTCCCCAGATGTTTCGGTATCACACTCTCAATGAGGAGGTGTTGCTTGCTGCTGGTTTACAGAACCTCTGCGTCCGTATCCTGTTCTGTCTAACGCGTTTCGTGGGTGTCAGCCCCACTTCATCAGAGACGGGATGAGGATTCAATAATCCGTATTGAATAAATATGCTTTTGGCTAATTGTAATTAATAACATAAGTGTCATTACTAAAAACATTGTTAAAAGACATCATGTGCTCAGTGTTTAACCCTTGATGGTACATATATGTGCATATAGGAAGGTAAATCATAATTACAGAGATGGAATAATTCATTAAAGGAAATAATTAATTAGACTTAAACTCTTCATAGATATATAAAAAAATTCAGAGGTATAACAATAAATATTAGAAACATTATAGATTAAAAAATGGTCACAAAATATAAAAACTGGCTTTAAAATACATAAGAGTAGTATATATCATGTGTATCCATATGGATATGTAAAAATAAAACATAATCTTCACATACAAATGTTTAGTGGGAAACTAGATTGCAATATGTGTAAGGAATACATATATGAGGTAAATGAAAAACAGGAGGAGTATAAATTATCTGTAAAAGAGAGAGAAGTGTGCAAGTTAGTCTAATCGTTAGGATAGACAAAAAGGTGTGCAAAGAATGTGCAAAAAGTAATACAACAACATTAAATATTGCACTTCCCAAAACGGATAATTCTGAAGACATAATTACATTGAAAACATATGTAATAGAGATGGTTATCTGTCTGCAATACTAATGTGTGTGTCGATCTGGACTACGAACATAGAGCTTGTGTGTGTGCTATACGAAAAAATAAGTGCAGCAAAATTAATTTTCTGCCTGCGATGTTTGTACATATTAATTTGAACTACGTACACAAATTTTTTTTTATGTGTATGATATATAGTGAAAATAGTTACAGTGTCTATTATACATACAGACATATATGTGATACATAGATAATAACATTTTAGGTACAAGGGGGCTTAATCAAAAGCAGATAGATAGATGAGTGGACATATATCAACTGTCCCGAAATATTTTCAATTTAATAGTATATACATTTCTATATAAATAGTCCCAAAGTGACTATGTTAGAAAGAAGAAGAGCCCTGTGACTATGCCCTACGCCTCTTGCCCTGTGACTATGGCCCCTGGGATGTATTGCCCTTTAAAGACATGATTTGGGCATAATGGATTTGTGTTGTGCTGCTGCTGGCCCTTTAAGAACCATCTGGGGACATACTGTGGAGTTACTGGGTGGCCACCATTCCCTGTATCAGAAGCACATGGTGAGAACAATGGATGGCGGCCATTTTAACTCACAGACACTGTTTGGACTTTTCAACACGGTGCCATCTCGCCAGTATTTGGTGCACAGAGACATCGTGCAATGGTTTTGGACTATACAGCAGGGGACACATTATACAGTGATTGTTTTTCATTTAGCCTGTATATGTTCTGCAGAATCTGCATTAAACTGTATTTTCCAAAGTACTGAACGGATCTGGGTGAATTTTGGATATGTGGTTCACCCAGATCCCCCGGTTCCAAGGATATACTTTTTATGGGGTTATTGCATGTTTTGGGGTCCCTGTGTGTTTTATGAAACTGTATTATATCTGGCCAGCAGATAATTGAGCTTTGTGTATTGTAGCAACTCAATTATCTAGCTTGGCCCAGAGGAGGAGTTTTGTGTTGCATAAATTGTGAGTTCTGTGTGCCAGTAAATCAGTCTTGTTCCAGCATTAAGCCTTGGCTCATGTTTGGGGGAAGGGATACCTACACTCTGGGGATTGCTATAATCACTTACTCCCCAGAGGAAGCTCTTGCAATAGCTTGATTTGTTCCTGTTCCTGCTCTCTGGGGAAAGAGAGGTTCACCCACTGGAAGCTGGATCCTGGCCTTGGGTCCAGGGTGGGTGGAAACAGCAGAGACCCCGGCGCAGTTGCATCGCTGGAAGTGGGGTCTGCAGTGCTGATGGTGTCGGTTGGAGTGCTTGGAGTCCTCAGCGAGCACTAGGAGCATCGATTGGCGGAGGTACTCAGTCGGAGTGCCAGCGTTCCGTCACAATGTCCATACACATAATACATAACAATCACCAAGGTACTCTTGACACACCACATTCATGCTTCAGGACAAAACACACATACTAACAGACACAAATACTGAAACAGACATATTTTATATGCTATATTTGTGTATGCTACACTAGAATAGCAGCAGGAGGAACCCAGGAGCTAATAAATAAGTGCCAATTAGACAGATATTACAAAATGACAAACTGGATATTTGATATGTAAATATTAAAAAAATATGTAAATATGTTAAAAAAAATGTAATATAACATGTTCACTAATATTCTTGTCTCGTTACAGAAAACAGAATTAAATACAACTGAGCAATTTTTCTCCACTATAAACGATCAAGTGTTTAAGGAATGACAGGCTTTGTATCAAATATTTGAAATATATGAAGTGTTAAACCAAATTAGAAGAATCAATATGTATACAAATTGTTATATGGTTCTGTTAACAGGATGTAACATTGACACAATGTGTAGACCACCTTGAATTATATGTGATTAGGAAGAAAATCATCACTATAAGTGTTTTTATATGAAATAGTAAGTTTTATTGAGATTAAATCTAAAGTTAATCAATTAATGAAGTTTTACTAGAACTCCATCTGGTTTTGTATTTATTTATGCAAATATTTTTAGCAATGCTTTTGCCATTCATTATTATTCTCAATCTATTTTTACTTATCTCAATGTTTATTGTATGAACAGCTTTTAATTGTATTTTATTGATATGAACTTCCATTCATGTATAGATATATTTTCTGTATGTAATACGCTTAATATACTTCAACCTAATGCAATGTACCTAAAAATATTGAATATAATGCAATGCATCTATTAATCAATTATCAATTGAGGGATATATAAGCACTCCCATAAGGAGGCTAATACAGATGTCTCTGAGGAAGTAGGGCTATCCCCTACGAAACGCGTTAACCAAGTTCACAGAACGTCCATACAGCGATAGAGAAAAGAGGTATCAGCACAACAGTCCAGCGATCAGCTTGGAGTGCAGGAGTCGGAACAGTACGATCCGATGAGCAGTGCAGTTCCCCCAAAGTGAGGCTCGAGGTGGAACGCACTGTGACACGCAAACCTTCCTCACCGGCTACCAGAATTCAGATACTGTATCGGGATTACTATCCATATCCATCCGTGCCTATGTGCATATTTTACCTTCTATTATCTATTGCTTCGAATGTGAACTTATTTTTAACAATATTTTTTATATTTTCAATAAAATTGACTCCTTTATTCATAAGTGATTTATTTGGCGATATTTTTTGCATTGCTTATAGCAGCCGTTTTTTTGTACTGGTTTTTGCTCATAAATATACATTTTACATTATATTTTGCATGATGGCAGTTTATATATCCTAAAGAATCTATGTCATTTGGTCATTTTATCGTTCATCTAATATAGTGAATGGAAGTATATTATTTGGCATAAATTACCTTTGCCCAGGGACTACTGTTTCCTGGGTTACAAGATAATCTTACCACACAATTATCTACATATAATATATTTATATTTATATAATTTTTTTTAACATATTTACATATTGTTCAATATTTTTAATATTTACATATCAAATATCCAGTTTGTCATTTTGTAATATCTGTCTAATTGGCACTTATTTATTAGCTCCTGGGTTCCTACTGCTGCTATTCTAGTTTAGCATATTTTATATGCATTATCTCTATAGGTTTTTGGTGGATCCCTATTTTTTACCCAGTTTCAGAGCTTTTTTTGCTAGGTCTTTTCCCCTCTATTTCTCTGCAAATTCTTTTGCATGAGAACTTATTTTATACACAAATATAGACACATACACATGCATAAGGAGATACAGATTTACACACAAATACTGACATACAGACACACACACTGACGTACATGCATACTCACATACTGACACACATACATACAGACATACATACAAACAGATATGCATACATACAGACACACACACACACACACACACAGAGATACATACAGACTTACTGATATACACACACACACATACTGACATACACACAAACATACATGCATACTGACTTACATACACACATACATACTGATAGATATATACATACACACACACAGACGTACATACACACATATACACAGACATACATGCATACTGACATACATACTGATAGATATATACATACACAGAGACATGCATACTGACATACGTACACACAGACATACATGCATACTGGCATATATCCATACTGACATACACACAGAGACATACATACACATGCATACTGGCATACATACTGATAGATATAGGCATACTGACATACACACAGACATACACGCATACACACAGACATACATGCATACTGACATACATACACACATACATACTGATAGATAAATACATACACACAGACATAAATGCATACTGACATATATACATACATGAATACTGACATACACGCATACACAGACATCCATGCATACTGACATACATACTGATAGATATATACATACACACAGAGAGACATATACACATACTGACAGACATACATTTAGACACATACATACACACACACACACCTCATTTATCAGCCACCCTCCTCTTACCTTTAAGTTGCAGGAGGGTGGCTGAGGATGATGGGAGCGAATGCCTCTCCTGTCCTGTCCTGTCCTCTACTCTCCCTCTCCTCCCCGCGCGACGTAAGCTCGGGGGTAAGTAACCAGCCGTCACTTCCTCCCAGCAGCACTTGCGGTGTAGACGCAATTTCTTTTAAAGGGGCCCGGTCGCGCTATTACACGGCCGCAGCACTGACCGGGCAACTGAAGATATAGGGCTCATCGGGTGGCCCTAAATGCTTGGGCCACCTGATGGGCCCCCCGGTGCAGATGCACCTGCGGCAGTTTCGCCACTCCACGTGTCATGGTTGTCACCCCCTGATGGCGGCCCTGCCTGTCAGGTAAGGATTTCTTTCTATACTTGAGGGTTAAAGACATATTGTAACAGCTACCCAGCTATAGTGAGGGTATCAGCCGTTGGGGACATCCTTTTCTTCCCGGCAAGTCGCTGTATAGTGATGGAGCTGCTTATTCCCCTCTGCTGGATCCAAGGTAGAAGTCAGGTACAGGTCTGAAAAGAGCTTAGTGATTATTCTGCAAAATCTCCCTTTCAAAAACGTGACAAGGCTACGTTTTGAAGGGTCAAGCAGAACTAAAGCTTTAATGACAGACACTCTCTTTTATGTGATTCTGCCCATGCAAGGGAGACACCCACATAATTAACAGTACAGCCAATAAACACAATATACATTCCATACATCTCCTCCCCTTAGATAACCACATACCATAATTAAAATGAACATATTTTTCCCCAAAGTTTGGATGTACCCCAAGCTGTTACTGCAATAAAATACACATATTTGTATTCAGCGATGTCTCACAGGTAAAACAGGTTTTATGGTGTTATTGGAAAGTTACAGGGTCAAATTTGGCACATTACATTTTTCAGTTTATACACATTGAAACTTGCCAGACTGGTTATGTTGCCTTTGAGACCAAATGGTAGCCCAGGAATGACAATGACCTTCACAGACCAATAACAATAAGGTTACAAGGCACGACACTCCCACACACAGCACACAATCCCTCCCCTCTGTCTAGAAGATAATTGGATCAGTGACTGTACTAATTCTAATCCAATTATCTCCAAGCACAGATAAAACATACTTTTTCAAAACACACCAAAAGTACCCTAAAAAACATACATCCCTGTAACGGCACCCTCAGCATAAAAGGGTTAAACCGCCGTTTAGGAGATCTTCCCCTTCCAGAGACACAGGCACAGCTACTGCAGAACACCAATCCGCCGAACAGGAAACCAAATGAATGCCGTAAACAGCCGAACAGGAAAAACCATACGAATAGGTTTACACTCCTAGCAGTCGAACTGGAACAGCATACAATAAATCCCCCCAAGAACGAGACAAAGCTCCGTGTTGAGGGTCAAGCAGTGAACAGACAGAGTTGTGGGTTTATTGTCCTTATGTACACATTCTTACACATTATACCACCCACAGGGTTTTGGAACACAACCATTAAACACATACAATACACTCAGACACTCCCACACAAAATCCTCCCCTCTGCATGTGATTTAATTACCTTACACAATGGGTAATGCAATTATAACAAGCAGAGAAATAAAATTTTTCCACATTATTCATAACTTGAAAAGTATGCATCACATTCACATAAAAGGTGAATGTGATGCATACTTTGCTGATTTTCAGAATCCGCATACTCCAAATACAAATGTGACGAGCAATCTCGCCACATCGCATTGGAGAAGCCTGGTTGCTCGCCTGTTGCCTTTGGATTATGGCCCCATGTTAAAAGGCTTGATTTTCCCCTGCAAAGACAAGAAAGCCGGGTCATTTGGTGCTTGCCCTGTTTGAGCAGTGATAGCCCAGATAGCTATGCCATGGAGCCCATTCGTATAATGAAAGACTATGGGAAAGACTTTGGCTCCATGGCAATTGAACTGTATGTGTGTGCTCTGAGCGCCATTCAGTAATAATGTGCGCTCAGACCTAAACTATCTGGGCATATGTTGCATGTCTGTATTTTATGTCATAAATGTAACCTTGTGTATTTTATTGTATTTTACAGTCTTTTTGCTGCCATGTGTTCAATGGAGTTTTGCCTCTGTCTTTGGAGATAATTGGATTACTTCTAATTATCTCCAGGATAGAAGACTCTGTGGAACTGGTTTTGGGCAGAAAAGCCATGCTTCCTATGGTCACAAAGGACTACGATCTATCTTTTGAACCAATGGATCAATTTGTATGATTTTGACGTATAATTTTCAAAATACACGTAGAACGAAATAATATATATCTACATACATAAATATATACGTATATATCACTATATATTTATATACATACATATATATACCTATATATACCTATATATAAATAAAAAAAATAAAAAAAAATATGTATATATACATATATAGATTCACATACATATATATATATATATATATATATATATATATACACACACACACACACATACACACACACATATATTAATTCTACATATATATTTATGTAATATTTTTACATAATTAGGTATCTTAATTAATTACAATTAGCGGGACCTGCCTGACAACCCATGCCGAAAGTAAAGGGAATTTAATTTGCTAGCACTATATTTAACCCTATAACTTTCCAAGACACCATAAAACCTGTACATGGGGTGTACTGTTCTACTCGGGAGACTTCGCTGAACACAAATATTAGTGTTTCAAAACAGTAAAATGTATTATAACGATGATATCGCCAGTAAAAGTGAAGTTTTTTGCATTTTTCACGCACAAACAGCATTACACGGACAATATTATTGCTGTGATACTTTTTACTGTTTTGAAACACGAATATTTGTGTTCAGCGAAGTCTCCCGAGTACAACAGTACCCCTCATGTACAGGTTTTATGGTGTTTTCAAAAGTTACAGCGTCAAATATAAGGCTTGCGTTTCATTTTTTTCACATTAAAATTCGCCAGATTGGTTACGTTGCCTTTGAGACCCTATGGTAGCCCAAGAATAAAAATTACCCCTATGATGGCATACCACTTGCAATAGTAGACAACCCAAGGTATTGCAAACAGGATATGTCCAGTCTTTTTTAGTAGCCACTTAGTCACAAACACTGGCCAAAATTGGCGTTTTTTGCATTTTTCACACACAAACAAATACTAACGCTAACTTTGGCCAGTGTTTGTGACCAAATGGCTACTAAAAAGACTGGACATACCCCATTTGCAATACCTTGGTCTACTATTGCAAATGCTATGCCATTATGGGTGTAAATTTATTCCTGGGCTACTATACAGTCCCAAAGGCAACGTAAACCAATCTTAATTTCAATTTCAAATGTAACGGCTATATTTGACCCTGTAACTTCCCAAAACGCCATAAAACCTGTACATAGGGGGTACTGTTTTACACGTGAGACTTTGCTAAATACAAATATGTGTATTTTTATTGCAGTAAAAGCAAACAGTATTATGACATTGACAGTTAAAATGTCATGTAGAACTAAAAAAAAAAAAAATCAAAAATCTTATTTTCTCCAATTTTTTCATATTAACTTATGTTTCATAGCTAAATATAGCTAAATATTTGATATTAAATGAAAGCCCTGTTTCCCCTGAATAAAATGATATATATAATAAGGGTGGGTGTATTTACTATGAAAGAGGTGAATTACGGTTGGACAGACATGTAGCGCAAATGCCAGGTTTTGTTTACATTTTATTTCGTTCACAATGTGTACATTTGGCTCCGTCCTTAAGGGATTAAAGTATTTTTAGCCAGGTCTATTGCAGGGGCAATAGTCTCAGGGTAGGAGGCTAGCAAACAGGCCGTTTCAAAAACCAATGGCGAGGTTACTTTCAACACAATATATTTTACTGTTTTTAACCCCTTAAGGACCAAACTTCTGGAATAAAAGGGAATCATGACATGTCACACATGTCATGTGTCCTTAAGGGGTTAAAAAACAATATTTGTGTTCAGCAAAGTGTCACGAATAAAACAGTACCATGTACAGGTTTTATGGTGTCCTGGAATGTTACACAGTTAAATATGATTATGTAAAAATATTATATATATATATATATATATAACATTTATTTATATTTTTTTCTACTTATTTATTTTATAAATAAAGCAGATAACCATTTGGCTATCTAGTCTGCCCAATATTTCAAATACTTTTAATTCGTTCCTGGCCTATCTTATAGCTAGGATAGCCTTATGCCTATCCGCATGCTTAAACTCCCTCACTGTGTTAACCTCTACCACTTCAGCTGGAAGGCTATTCCATGCATACACTACTATATATATATATATATATATATATATATATATATATATTTATTTAACATCATTCCAAGTGTATTTTAATATTAATATATATATAATTATATATATTAAAATATACATTTATTAATGATGTATGTATGTGTATATAAAAGTATACATATATATTATATACACACACACACACACACACACTGAGGGGGGCGGATCGGGCAGACCCCAGGATCACGACTGCAGTCGGAGGAACGGCAGGGACCCGGTAAGTTTAGGACCGCTTAAAAAAGGACGGCATAGAAAGCCCGCCGTTCTTAAGGGGTTAAAAGATCACAAACATGTATTCCTCACATCAGCTAAAATAACTGTTTAGGTCACCAACCCTTTTTCTAATGACTATGCAGTCCATTTAAATAAATGTATACTAGCATAAACATTATCTAGGCATAGGTGATATTCTTTATTTATTTATGGTAGTAGGAGTTCCCATACAATTTTTCCAATTGTCCCCACAGAATCAAAGCAGCTTTGTGGATCTAGTTGACTTTCTGCATAAATACCCAGTATTGCATTTGCACAGCTACAATTTTGTACCAAAAGTCAGCTTAGATGGGACGTACTGCTTGAAAAGCAGTCTTCTCCTGAATCTTAAATTTGACTCATCTATGCAGATATTTTTGCCAGAGGTATTGTGGCGAAAGTAACCTCGCCACTGGGTTTTGTAGAGGCCTGCTTGTCAGCCTCTTGCACTGTGACTATGGTCCCTGGGGTATATTGCCTTTTAAAAACACTATTTGTGCATATTGGAACTTAGCACAATTCCCCTTTCAAACATGTGGCGGCAGCCATCTTAAATTGTCCAGCAGTGTTTTGTTGTTGAGTGTATGGAAACCATATGAATGCCGTAAACAGCCGAATAGGAAAAACCATACGAATAGGTTTACACTCTTAGCAGTCGAACTGGAACAGCATACAATAAATCCCCCCAAGAATGAGACAAAGCTTCCAGGAAATTCCTGAACCCCTGAACATAATAATACAACAAAATACAACATATCCCCACAAAAGTCATCCCCTGATAGCCCCGATCTGGGTGAACAACATATCCAAAAATCACCCAGATCGGGGCTATCAGGGGATGACTTTTGTGGGGATATGTTGTATTTTGGGGTACTTTTTGGGGTTTGCAAAAATGACACTGTTGCACATAGAAGTCTTATCAATAAACTGCAATCTTTAAGTTTGGATTCCAATAAAGCTGAATGGGTAAGGCAGTGGCTGAGTGACAGACAACAGAAGGTTATAGTCAATGGAGTATATTCAAAGCATGGGCTTGTCACCAGTGGGGTACCTCAGGGATCTGTACTTGGACCCATTTTTATTAGTGATATTGCAGAAGGTGTTGATGGTAAGGTATGTCTTTTTGCTGATGATACTAAGATATGTAACAGGGTTGATGTTCCAGAAGGGATAATCCAAATGACAAATGATTTAGGTAAACTAGAAAAATGGTCAGAGTTGTGGCAACTAACAATGTGGATAATTGCAAGTTCTAACCTCAACATCTGAGGAAAGGGATTTAGGGGTGATTATTTCTGATGACTTAAATGTAGGCAGACAATGTAATAGAGCAGCAGGAAAATTACAAACACGAACACTTGGAACACAGCCAACAATTAACTTTTTGCCGCTCTCATCTCAGATTAAAGTGGGGAAAGAGAGAGTCAAAATACCATGTCACAGTCCAGGATACAAATAATTGCATGTGATATGACCACAATCACGCATGTGATATGACCACAATCACGTCACTCTGGTCACATCCAATTTGCTGCTTGGGGACTACCTGGATTGCCAAACAGTACTCCCGATCAGATTGTCAAGAAATCACTTGAGGGGACGGGGAGGGAGCGGAAGGTGCACATCCAGTAGGATGTATCATTACGCTCTAATGTCCTGAATGCCAATGCCATTTTATGAAATCAAAGACAACATTTACACCGGATATACTTTACAGCTATTATTTATAGTGTCAGCATGAAATTAATTTTGCTAGAATGTGAGATGCTGGATGGAGAAAGAAATTTAAATTACAGTTCTACAATGTCTCACATTCTCAATACAAGATACTTTATTCCCATGTTAATACACGGATGCCTCATAAGACCCTATAAAATTCCACACATTCACAAGATCAGAAAATTTCTATTTTGTGTGAGTTCTCTGATGTCTAACAAGATGTGACTGCTGGCTATAACATTTTCCACATTTAGAACATGAAAACGGCTTTTCTCCTGTGTGCATTCTCTGATGTTCAACAAGGTATTTATGCTGGCAAAAACATTTCTCACATTCAGAACACGAGAACGGCTTCTCTCCTGTGTGAGTTCTATGATGGCACACAAGATTCGAGTGACTGGTAAAACATTTCCCACATTCAGTACATGAGAATGGCTTCTCTCCTGTGTGAATTCTCTGATGTGTAACCAGCTTTGATTTAGTGACAAAACATTTCCCACATTCAGAACATGAGAAAGGCTTCTCTCCTGTGTGAGTTCTCTGATGTACAACAAGGTATGTATTCTGGCTAAAACATTTCCCACATTCAGAACATGAGAAAGGCTTCTCTCCTGTGTGAGTTCTCTGATGTTCAACAAGTTTTATATGCTGGCTAAAACATTTCCCACATTCAGAACATGAGAAAGGCTTCTCTCCTGTGTGAGTTCTTTGATGTATAAGAAGGTGTGTATTGTGCCGGAAACATTTCCCACATTCAGAACATAAGAATGGCTTCTCTCCTGTGTGAGTTCTCTGATGTATAACAAGGTATTTATTCTGCCTAAAACATTTACCACATTCAGAACAGGAGAATGGCTTTTCTCCTGTGTGAATTCTCTTATGTTCAACAAGTTTTGAATGGTGGCTAAAACATTTCCCACATCCAGAACACAAGAACGGCTTCTCTCCTTTGTGAGTTTTTTGATGTGTAATAAGGTTTGTATTTTGGTTAAAGCATTTCCCACATTCAGAACAAGAGAACATTTCTGCTGTGTGAATTCTTTGATGCCTAATAAGTGCTGAGTGATGGGTAAAACAATTCTCACATTTAAAACATTAGAAAGGTTGTTGCTCATGTGCAAGTCCTGAAATGAACTTTTGAATAATATCTAAAAAACATTTCCCACATTCAGTACATGGGATTTTTTTCCATTTACTATCTCAGTTGCAGACATAGGAGTCTGAGAGTTGGAATGCTTGTTCGGTAAAAGATTTCTTCAAACTCTTGCTTAATGCATTTCTGTTCTTCAGGATCAATTCTGCTGATGGAAACACCTAAAAGAAATGCATTGGAAGTTACAGAAAATTTGTCACTCTAATTGATCTATTGTTTAAAAGGATAAAAAGCTGTATTCCTGGCACTACCGATCCCTCTGACTCCCCCTCCCTCTCTCATGGCTGGTAAATAAAAAGTTAAAAACCATTTACTTACCTGATCCCAACTCCGATGTCCCTTGCCGCTGGATCGAAGCTCCTCCTCTGTCTTGCACGTGCATTAGAGCTCCCCAAAGGAAAGCATTAAATCAATGCTTTTCTGTGGGGAAAAATCTGACGCTTGAGGTCTTCCTGCAGAGCGTGAGGACGTCCACTGTCAGATAACAGACCAAAAGTCTGTTACGATTCCGGAAGACTTCTAGTGCCTGTCTGATAGACAGACACTGAAGGCAGATTTAGAGCTGCAATGTAAATACAAAAGGGACACAGACCACTTCAATGAGCTGAAGTGGTCTGGGTGCCTACGGTGTCCGTTTAACAAAGTAAGAAAGACAGTTTCATGTAAGACCAGAAATTACAAAAAAGCAAAACAAAACAAAAAATTGGGATAGATAATTATCTTTGAAAAATATTAAGTGCCCAAAATATATTTTGTGTCAAATACATGTATACATGCTTATGAGCACAACATTTATCTTTTCCAATCTTATACTTATATTTCAACTGTGCTGAAGAACTGTTTCTGCATTCCTGGCAGATGCCAATAAGCTTTTTTGGAGAGTACCTTTAGGGTGAGGGAAAAGATGAGAAAACATACAAGTTATCTTTTCTCCAACATCTGTCCGAGTGTGTGTTGTGCCATTAGGCTTGTTTATGACCATACGTCCGGACCAAAGGATCGCTGGTTTTAGCTTTCTTCTGCTTCTAACCTTTCTGGCTAGGAATAGATATTGTTAAAGAGAAACGTCCAATTCTTTACTGTATAAGTAGATTTGATATGGATACTGTCACAACTATAAACTCTATATATTAATAATTTTCATTGGTAGACTTCCTTTGCAATTCTCCAATACTGTCAATATTCCTGCATGTTCCAGGCATGACAATGGCACTTTTTTTTTATTTTAAAATGAAATTAAGTCCATAAAGCCTTACTTACCTACATTATACTTCATTGATTACCACCTTGTAGGAGGGGAGAAATCAATTAGTTCTCACATCTGCCTCTCAGCATTATATTAGCATTGCAAAGATTGTTAAAAAATAAAATAATAATATGCCTTGATTTTGGAAGCATGTAAGAATACAGGAACATGTTCAGAACATAAAAATGCATTTGAGGAACAATTTATTTGTATATTTCAAAATTAAACAAAGATCCTACAAACATCCAATTCATTGGGTATTTAAACACACAAAAAAATTGGAGGGGTGTAGATCTAATAAGATAAATAGGCCAATCAGAAATGAGGTGGATTTTTTTATTTAAATACTTTACTACCTCATGGTCTAACCAGTGAATTTAAGCTCTGCCATTTTAATGACTTATTTACAATTTGTATTTTAATGAAATATATTATTGTGTGGGTCCTACACTAACAATTCACCTTGCATGCTTCAGCTTCAGGCAAAAAAATATAAATAAAAAACAAAAACAAAAAGCAAATATACAAAAAATAAATCCTGCGCTTAGACTCCCACTACTCCTGGGCGGCAGCAGTGACCATAGTACACATCAGCCCCAATACCCCTGTTATCTCTCCACAGAACCCAATCATGAAGTTTCTGATTCGTCATTCTTTATCTATTCTGGGAGGACCCTTACACTCGTGTTTCTCCTTGAATGGTCCTTAAGATCTGTTGTTTTCCTTTGAAGTTCTTCATATTTGGGTTTTAATTCTTTAAGAGAATCTTGCGGTTAATAGTTTTTAAATCTTAACTCAATTATGGCAGCATTTTCATTTACTTACTGGTGAAGGATATGTATTTTTTTCTCTTAATTCTTTCACTAGGTCTAAGCATACTTTTTTGATCAAAAAATATTTAAACTGATCCAGTATGAAGTTTGGACTTTATGGGATAATCACCTGTTTCTTCCTTGTCTTTTTTTTTGCCATTTCCTTTATTTCCCCCTTTGTTTAATCCATTGGCAGGGGGTGGGGGGGGGTGATAAACAATAGGATCATATTTACTTATTTTGTTTTACCTCCATCTTCTTTGCCTTTTTGAGTATTTTTTTTTAGGTATTTTTTTTTTTTTTGGACGCCATATTCATGTAGGTCAGGTCATCTTGTCTCCTTCCTTTAATTAGATGGGTAAATTTTGGTTTGGAAGTTTGAAAGCTTGATACCCTGAGGGTTTTTTTGCCTCAACATTCCCTTTTCTTTGGAAAGCATTTTTGCCTTTTTCACTCGACAAGCGTGACTTTTTCAGAGGTTTCTCAGATAGAGTTTGGAGCCTAATCAACTTTAAATTCAATACAATTATACAGGTCTACAGGATTGCAGTTTGAAGTGGAGTACAGAATCACTATACTGTAATAAATTTATTCAACAATGACTATTTCTTCAATGCAAAAAATTAAGATGAGATATACACTGATAGCAAAGGTTTGGAAGTACATTAGAAGCAAAGGTTTGTTCACAGGCAGGGCTGGATTAAGAGCCTATTGAACTGTCCTCCAGTATCAGCACCAGGCCCAAGGAGAAACAACATCAGAGTAAGGGGCATCCCAGAAGAGATAAAAAATGAAGAAGTCAAAAACGTAATGCTGGAGTTCTTTAAATTATGATGGGCTGTATTACAGAATCTAATCAACAGAAAACACTAAACACAAAAAGTTATACCTCCCAAATATAAATTTATCTGGTGGAGGTGGTGCTGGAGGGAAACTCATAGGTTATAGCTATAAGAAAATACATATCCTATGCTAATCTCTGGCTTTCATTTTCCAAGTGAATCTATACCCCCTAACAGCAGTGTCCGGTGAAGGAGGTGTAACGGATCGACGGGCACCCCGTTGGAGGATGCTCCTAGCGCTTCCTGAGGACTTCAAGCACTGCAGCAGACACCACAACCACTGAACCGGAGAAGCATACAAATGCTCTCAAGCATATGAATGCTGTAAACAACTGAACAGGAAAAACATACAATCAGCTTACACTCCTGGCAATCAGCATACAATCCAATTCCCCCAATAACGAGACGACACGTTTTGAGGTCAAGCAGAACTGACTGGACTGGCACATACAGCCTCTTTTATTCACAATCCACAAATATAGTACTGCCCACAGGGTTATGAAACACAGCCAATCAATCCGTACAATACACACAGACACTCCCACACAAAATCCTCCCCTCTGCCTGTGATATGATTACTGAACACAATGGTTAATATAATTATCACAGGCAGAGAAACACAGTATTATAAAACATATCACAGGGACCCCTAAACATGCAATAACCGTATAAAAATATATATCTGGGTGAACCACATATCCAAAATTCACCCAGATCCATTCAGTAGTTTGGAAGATGCAGTTTAATGCAGATTCCGCAGAACAGATACAGGCTAAATGAAAAATAATTACTGTATAATGTGTCCCCTGTTGTATAGTTTAAAACTAATGAACGATGTCTTCGTGCACCAAATACTGTCGAGATGGCACCGTGTAGAAAAGTACAAACAGTGTCTGTGAGTTAAAATGGCCGCCATCCATTATTCTCACCATGTGCTTCATCCATTGTTCTCACCATGTGCCTCTGATACATGAAATGGTGGCCACCCAGTAACTCCACAGTATGTCCCCAAATGGTTCTTAAAGGGCCAGCAGCAGCATAATAAAATACGATATGCCCAAATACTGTATTTAAAGGGCCAAATCTCCCAGGGGCCATAGTCACATGGCAGGAGGCTGGCAATCAGTCTTCTCCAATGCCCAGTGGCGAGGTCGGTTTTGTCACAGGAGGATTTTGGTGAGCGGGTTAAAAGGGTGGGCCACTGAATCACGTAACCAGAACCGTGCAAAGGAAAAAAAATGCCTAAAAAAGGGGCAAGAATTAGATGGTCAGTCTGATGTGCATGAACGTCAGGCTGCTTGCCAATTGTGCAGGCTGACCAACCAAGGTCATACTGTGCAGACAGCATGCTGAGCTTGGCATAAATCCATCTAATGATGCAATAGCTCTATGCTTTCTAAGGACTGTGCACTAGCACTCGCTTGTCCACTCCTCTCCTAACCTTCTTACTAGCAGTCAGAAGCTCCTGTTATACAGCCTGGGATAGAGAAAGAGTGTATGTAGTGAGTGTGGAAGAAAGGAAACATGCCACAGTGTTAGAGAGACTGAAGGGCAAGAGCATTTGTATAATGCACAAAGTCAGTGTGACAGAACACCCTGTCACTGACAATACTTTGTTCGTATGATTTTCCCATTCCAGTTCGAAACCCAAACAAACCCATGATATCCCCATTTTCTATACCTCCCGTACTCAGCCAACCTTGGAGCTTTTTAACCCTGTTGTCCCCTATTCATACCTCCAATATCGGTTTACACCCCACTGTTTCAAGTGTTCTGCTGGGTGGCTGCCATTCACATGAACGAGCACGTGGGAAATGAGTTGGCGGTCATCTTGTCCCACAAAAGCAGGCAGCGGTGCTCGGGCATCCAGTGCAAGGAACTGAAATCGGACATATTAACTCGCGAACAACGCTGAACTTCCATCATCGCCTGCTTCGTTCCCTCACATCTCAGGAGAGCGCTGTTCGGTAGGATTTCTCACACAAACTAGGCGAACAATCACTACCTAAGAGCCAAAGAATCTGTTTGGTGTTTCGCTCTTTTTGGACTCCCGAAAGAGACAGACTGCCACCACTTTTCTCCTGGAACTATTTTGGGCAGGCGTCACGTGTGCGGTCAGTCAAAACTTTACCCTGGTGGTGATTTGGTGGGGTTCTTGGGATCTGAGCAATATTTGAACACTTTGGGTGCTCAGATCCAGGCTATCTAGGGATATAGGGCTTATGTTGGTCTCGTGTAATATTATATATAGGTTATGGGGTGTTTAGAACACTGTACCTCTGTGGGAGCAGAGCACACTTAATTATCTCCCAGACACAGACGCCAGGGAGGAGTTTGTATTGGTACATGCGTATAAATTGCATGTGCCATATTTCATTAAACCAGTTCACTCACAGCATTCCGTGTCCCTATCTGGGTGGCCGCCGCAGTCAGCTTTTCTAATTGTCAGCCAATCAACACCAGTTTTGTTCCTTTACCTCCCTCTTAAAGTTTCCATAGTTAAGCAAAAGCATGTGAAGATTTTTTTTTTTTTTTTAATATCATCATCATCGGGCCTGGAGCTGCATGGATATACAGGTGATACTCAAAAAATTTGAATATCGTGTAAAAGTTCATTTATCTCAGTAAAAGGGGAAATTAATATACGAGA